CATGCAATGGATTAAGGGTAAGCCCGATCCTGAGGCCCAAAAGAAAAATATAAATAGAGAAGCATCAGCCAAAGAAAGGTATGTGAGAACAAGTAAGATTAACTTAAGATATAAGCAACCAAGAGAGTATATACTGACTTATCCGTTAGAGTGCTAATTCTGGCACTCCCGACTGGAGTGTTCATTCATTTTTAGGTGACTTGCTGAGGATCAAAAGCATTCTACAGGATCTAGAGAGTATTTTCAAAACCACTTCTCTACACAAACCATGCTAGAATTACAACATGCATGTGAGAAAAGCTTTAAATACAACTTTAAAATGCTAGGAAATATGCATGCATGTATGGAATGACTTAGTTTTCTTCAATTTTAGCTCAATTCCTATATGAATTCACCTATTTTACTTGTATTCATGTGCTAAATGGCTCAATTCTAAGGTTACAAGGTTCAGCTTTTACCTAGGCTACCCAATTGAGCTTCAATTAGTCAAAATCTTGAGTAATTCTCCAAATCTCCTAGCAAATTCCTTGTTGATGACTTCTCCCTAGTCTCTTTCTCTCTACACGTTGTGTGTGTGTGAGAGAGCTCAAAATATGTTAGAATGAAGAAAAGAGTGAGTGAGAGCACATAAGAAGCCTTATATAGGCTTACCTAATGATAGTTAATTAAGGCTAATTAAGTGGCATTAAATGAATCCAATTTAATCGTTCTGAATCGAATTTCAATTAAACCTACTATAAAATTCCAAAAATTCCAATTAACACAAAAACCAAGTCAATTTCTGAATCGGATGCCGATAAGGCCTTCAACTACAAATCAAAACAGAAACATGAATAAATTTTCCTACGTTAAACAGATATAAATACAAATAATGCAACACGCATGTAATTAATTCAGAATTTGATCTTAATAACTTATTAGACATATGAAATCATGGATTAACGTTAATCATGGGTCGGGGTTGTTACAGTCTTCCCCCCTTAAAGAGTTTGGTCCTCCAAACTCGAATTACCTTCATTTTGAAAGAATATCGGATCCAATGGGAATAGTTCATGGTATCTTTTCATCATGTCTTCTTCTGTTTCCCAAGTTGCGTAGGTTCCTCCATTATTCTGCCAATCGATCTTTATTAACGGAATTTTCTTGTTTCTCAATTTTTTGATTCGGCGATTCACAATTTGCATTGGCCTCTCCTCGTTTGTATAATCATCTTTTAGAAGTACATGAGTTAGCTTAATCACATGTAGTGGATCTCTCGAATACTCTCGAAGCATAGATACGTGAAAAACATTATGCATATGCTTCATGACCAGAGGTAAGGCTACTCAGTATGTTACTGAATTGATCTTTTCAAGAATTTCATATGGTCCGATGTATCTCGATGCCAATTTGCCTTTCACTCCAAACCACGTTTGCCCTTTCATTGGAGTCACTTTTATGAACACATGATCCCCAACTTCGTATTCTCTATCTCGTATTCAGACATCTGCATACCTCTTTTGGCTGCTTTATGCAGTTTTCAACCTCTGTTGAATTAATTTCATATTTTCAGTTGTGTTTTTGTACAAGTTCTGGTCCCAACAATGGTCTGTCACCCACTTCAGCCCAACAAATAGGAGAATGACATTTCCTTTTAGACAAAGCTTCATAAGGAGCCATTCCAATACTTGAATGATAACTATTATTGTATATAAACTCGGCTAAAGGTAGATAGGTCTCCCAATTCCCTTGGAAGTCTAACACACACATCTGTAACATATCTTCCAAAGTCTAATTGATTCTTTCAGATTGACCGTCTGTCTGTGGATGGTAGGCATTACTCAATCGTAAATCGGTTCCCAAAACTAGTTGCAAACTTTGCTAGAATCTTGATATAAACTTCGAATCTCTGTCAAATACAATAGATACTGGTACACCATGTAATCTCACAATTTCATTCATATACATGTTAGCTAATTTGTCCACATTATAAATGGTTTTAAAATGCAGAAAGTGGGCAGATTTATTCAAACGATCAACTATGACCTAGATAGAATCCATACCTCGAGAAGAGCGAGGTAGACCGACGATGAAATCCATAGTCATATGTTCCCACTTCCATTCTAGTATTAGAAGCGGCTGAAGTAATCCAGTGGGTCGTTGATGTCCAGCTTTAACTTGTTGGCAGTGCAAACATTTAGCTACAAAGTCGGCAATGCTTTTCTTCATTTCAGGTTACCAGAAGTTCTATCTCAAGTCATGATACATCTTTGTGTTCCCCAGATGCATGGCAAATTTGGAGTTGTGAGCTTCAGTCATAACACGCTTTCTTAAATCAGAGGAATATGGTACACAAAGTCTATTCTGAAATTTCAACATATTATTCTCAAACACAAACCCCGGCCTCGGCTTTGAGTCAAATTCTTCCACAATCTTTTTTAAGAACTCATCTTCAAGTTGTTTCTTTCTAATTTCTTCAATGATTACAGGTTAAGCATAAATAACAGCTAAGATTCCGCCTTGTTCGTGCATTACAACTTCAATTTCATTTCTTTCTAGGTCACATATCAAGTCTCTTTGACCGGTGAGTAAGCATGACAATTTACCCATGGATTTGCGGCTCAAAGCATCAGCAAATGTGTTTGCTTTTCCCGGATGGTACAAAATCTGCAAGTCATAATCTTTAATCAATTCTAACCATCTTTGTTGTCTCATGTTCAATTCTTTTTAGGTGAAGAAATATTTCAAATTTTTATGATCCGTATATACTTCACAAGTCACACCATACATATAATGTCGCCAAATCTTCAAAGCAAAGACGACAGCTGCCAATTCAAGGTCATGAGTTGGGTAATTCTTTTCATATGGACAAAGTTACCGAGATACATAAGCAATTACTTTCCCATTTTGCATTAGTACACAACCCAACCCTTTATACGAAGCGTCACTGTAAATCTGGAACCCATCGGTACCATTAGGTAGAGTTAACGTTGGTGCAGTCACTAATCTGGTTTTCAACTCTTGAAAAGCTGTTTCATGCGGATCATTCTAATCAAATGGCACATTTTTCTATGTTAGCTGCGTTAATGGCATAACAAGTTTCGAGAAATCTTTCACAAACCTTCTGTAGTAACCTGCAAGTCTCAGAAAACTTCTCACTTCTGACATATCAGTTAGTCTTGGCTAGTTCACAATGGCTTCAGTTTTCTGAGCATCAACTGAAATACCATCTCTGTTGATTACATGCCCCAGGAACGCTACACTGTCAAGCCAACATTCACATTTGGAGAATTTTGCATATAGTTTCTTTTCTCTTAGAATCTGTAACACGGTTCTTAAGTGAATCTCATGATCTTCCCTACTTTTGGAGTAAATCAAAATATCATCAATAAATACAATAACAAATTCATCCATATATGATTTAAACACCCTGTTCATAAGGTCCATAAAGGCAGCAGGTGCATTAGTTACCCCAAACGGCATTACCAAAAATTTATAGTGTCCGTTTCTAGTTCTGAATGCAGTTTTCTCTATGTCTTTTGCCTTGGCTTTTAACTGGTGATACCCATATCTAAGGTCAATCTTGGAAAACACTTGGGCTCCCTGAAGTTGGTCAAAGAAGTCATCTATTCGGGGTAGAGGGTATTTGTTCTTGATAGTTACTTTGTTCAATTCCCGCTAATCTATACATAACCTCAAAGATCCATCTTTCTTCTTGACAAATAGGATTGGAGCACCCGAAGGTGAAGTGCTTGGACGGACGAATTTCTTGTTTAAAAATTCTTGAAGTTGAGTTTCAATTCTGAGGTTGATATTTTATAAGGGGTCTTGGCAATAGGTTGTGTTCTCGGAGTTACTTCAATAGTGAATTCAATTTCTCTATCGACTAAGTCTCCAAGCAAGTCATTCGGAAACACATTGGGAAATTCGCAAGCAACAGGAATAGTTTCCACATTAGCATTATCAGATGATGTAGTCAGTATACAACACAAGTAGCCCCTACATCCCTTCCTAAGCAATTTAACAGTTTTCATGGGCGAAATCAAGTATGGAGGAGAAACTACCCTATTTCTAGTAAAAATAAATTCAGGCATACCAGGTGGTCTAAACATAACAGATTTACTTGCACAATCAATGGTGGCACATTATTTAGTTAACCAGTCCATACCCAGAATACAATCAAAATGATCAATATTCAAGGGCAACAAGTCAACATACAATGTCATATCACCAATCATAATATCACATGCCAGATAAACATAAGCACATATCATAGAACCCCTAGATGGTGTAGATACAGATAGTAAACAGTTTATAGGTTCTAATGGTCTAGTTAATTTCGAAGAGAAAGCACGCGATAAGAAAGAATGCGTATAACCAGAATCTATCAGTACACATGCATTTTGAGAACATATAGGGAGTATACCTAACACCATAGTTTTGGTGTTCTATACGTCACTAGGTACTAAGGCAAACATTCGACCTTGTCTTAGAGTTTCTTTCCCAGTATTAGCTCTTGCATTTGTTTTAGCTGTCGAAGCAGATCCAGCTGAACTTGTTGTAAAGCGGTTGGCATTATCAGACCCAAATGGGCAATCTTTCACTACATGACCTGTCTTGCCACATCGAAAACAAGCATCGGATGCTCAGTAACACACACCCCTATGCCTCATTCCATAATCAGGGCAAACTGGAATAGACCTACTGCTCTGACTCGAGCTCTTTGTAGATCCCATGTTCTGCTTTTTACTTATATGAGAACGGCCTTTTCTAAAACCATACCCAGACCTTTTTCCTCTCCATTCAGTTGTTGTTGTTGCTGGGGCCTTACTTTGTCTCATAGCGGCTAGGGTGGCTTCTGCCATTAAGGATTTGTCAAGAACTTGCACATATGTTGGCAACTTTAATACGCCTACTTGATCAAATATGTCTGAGTCCAATCCTCCTTCAAATTTGCGGGCTTTCTTATAGTCTGTGTCTACCATGTGAGGAGAAAATCTAGCTAACTTAGTGAACTTAGCCTAGTACTCAGCTACAGATATTCTACCTTGCTTAAGTTCTTGGAATTCAGACATTTTTCGGTCCAAAAAATACTGAGGGAAGTACTTTTCATAAAAGATTTCATTGAATCGAGCCCATGTCATGTTTTCATTGGTATTCCGAATCAGTAACCACCACCTCCAAGCTTTGTCTTTAAGAGTATAGGTGGCCAATAAAACCTTTTGAGTCTCGGTACAGGGAAAAACTTCCAACAACTTTTCTATCTCAAGAAACCATGGTTCCGCTTTCAACGGTTCAATCCCACCCAAGAAAGTTGGCGGTTTCATCTTCATGAATTTCTGTGTCAAGTTCACAATGTTGTTATTATTAGGTTCAACTTGTACCGGTAGAAGCGGAAGGGGCAAAGGTTGTTGTCTCTGCTGTTGTGTCATAGCTTCGGTCAATGCTGCAAGCATCTGTTCCATTCGGCTTATGTGAGCCTCTGAGGATTCAGTTGTATCAGTTCCCCTTGCACTCTCCATGTTGCTATAGAGACACCAAATAATAATAAACATGGGAATAAACTTGTTCATTTCTTTTAATTTAGTTGTCCAGATTTCAAATTCAGTTTTTACATTTTTAAAGTTTACCACACACTCACACATGCAGATGGAATGTCCCTACTTCTTATTAGGACATCCTAAGCTCATATGGACTTGTGTGTGTGGTAGAATACGTGCTCTGATGCCATACTGTCATGACCCAAAGCCGTCCCTATAGGTTTAGCGTCGTAACCGGCCAGTAATCCTTAGATTACCAAAGACCTCTTAACAGAATAATATATAGTTAGGGGCTGCGGAAACAAATATACAAAATATACGTAGTCCATTGAGTTGTGAAGACATACATGGGACAGATAATTTAAAACTTTTATAAACTTGCGAGTGATGTCAAAATATACAGTATTTGCACATCACTCCATGAACGTATTTTCAGAAATCTTGCCCGTAAATCAAAAGAAACAAAGTCTAGCACATTCATAAAACACAACCACTAAACTTGACTTAATCCAGAACCTCCTCAGGAGGCAAAAGGTTGGCTGACAAAAACTGAGGCGCTAGGTCCTCAACTCTGAGCCTGGTCATGTGCCTGATCGCCTGCATATATAATATAAATAGTGAACAGAAGCTTAGTGAATAATAACGGAGTAAAGGATTTAATGAATGAAGTCCATACCAGGTTCACAAATCATAATTCATATTCCATAACGGATTCATATTTCTTTCAGAAACAGAAGCAAATCCATATTCATAATCTTGTTCAAATCATATACATAAATTAGAGTTCATGCTTAATTATATATGGTACATCCATTAGCACTAATAGAGTAGATACAGAACAGATGCAGAACATATGGTGGTCGTGAGTAACCAATTCTATAAAGGAACCTCCGGATCCGAGTAATAGAGAATAAACATACTGAGCCCCATGATGGAGCCTCCGGTACGGGTAACAAATTGTAGAAATATTAAGTTCCATGATGGAACCTCCGATACCGGGTAACAGCTAACAGATATCACATGATGCTAAGGATGCCACGATTACATTATTAGAAATTGGACAATCATTCATTGTACAAAACATATCATTTCAGAAAACAGATCTTATTTTATCATACAGAAAGTAAATAAGGTTGAACATAGTTTTACTAAGTTATTACTCACAGTTGGCTTCGGGTGCAGACAAACAGAGCAGACTAACCAAACGATTTACGGCACGTGACCTACATCAACACATAACAAATATACATTTGAAACACACGTTGGAACATACTTAACTATTTACGTTCGATTCATAGTGTGTTTTTACATGTTACCCTCATTATTATGCCTTAATCTTGGCCTAGAAATGCCTAGGATGGAATGATGATGCAAAAAAAATGCATTTGAAAGCCCTTGGTCAAATTTTTTGAAAATAGGGTCCGCGCTTGAGCGGGCATAAAAAAATGTGAGGGGATGCTCAAGCGCAACTTCCTCCGCTCGAGCGTTCTGAAAATTTTGAAAAAGTACTGGTTATGTGATTTTCACGCTTGATGAACACTCGATGGTCGCTCAAACGTGAGACTCATTCCCCCACTCTAGCGCAACTCTTGTTGCTCAAGCGGCCTGCCAAAGCATGTAACTTCTGGGAGCATGTAATTCACTATCGAGCAAACTTTTGGTCGCTCGAGCAGAGATGCAAAAACAAAGGTAGACACTCTAGCGCAGAATCTCACGCTCGAGCGGAGAGCAAAATTTTGGAATTTCCAGATTGCTCGTCTCTGCTCAAAACTCAAATTCCACACCTTAAAACTCATCTTCTTGGGCCAAAATTCTAGAAAACGTAAAATTTTATGATTTGAAGATCATTTCATGAAATCAAGGCCCAAAAGTATGTCAAACATGCAAAAATTCAATTTGAAATGTAAGAACATGATATGAACTTTGTCATGCATATATTCACTTGAGTTCTCAGCTTCCAAAACATAATCAAATGAGGTCCAATGGTGAGAAATGTTATAAACTCTACAAACCATGCTAGAATTACAACATGCATATGAGAAAAACTTTGAATACAAATTTAAAATGCTAGGAAACATGCATGCATGTATGGAATGACTTAGCTTTCTTCAACTCTAACTCAATTCCCATATGAATTCACCTATTTTACTTGTATTTATGTGCCAAATGACTCAATTCTAAGGTTGCAAGGTTGAGCTCTTACCTAGGCTACCCAATTGAGCTTCAATTAGTCAAAATCTCAAGTAATTCTCCAAATGTCCTAGCAAATTCCTTGTTGAAGACTTCTCCTTAGTTTCTCTTTCTCTCTCTCTCTCTCTCTCTACACGTTGTGTGTGTGTGAGAGAGTTCAAAATATGTTAGAATAAAGGAAAAAAGAGTGAGTGAGAGCACATAAGAAGCCTTATATAGGCTTACCTAATGATAGTTAATTAAGGCTAATTAAGTGGCATTAAATTAATCCAATTTAATCGTTCCGAATCGAATTTCAATTAAACCTACTATAAAATTCCAAAAATTCCAATTAACACAAAAACCAAGTCAATTTTTGAATCGGATGCCGATAAGGCCTTCAATTGCAAATCAAAACAGAAACATGAACAGATTTTCCTACGTTAAATAGATATAAACACAAATAATGCAACACGCATGTAATTAATTAAGAATTTGATCTTAATGACTTATTAGACATATGAAATCATGGATTAACATTAATCATGAGTCAGGGTTGTTACATAACCTAACCTTGAAGCAAAGTAGAATTCAAATATTTAGATAAGAGTCAAAATTGATCAAACCATATAAAATCTATTCCATTTAAAAAAATAAAAATAAAATCAAGAGCTACGGTTTTACCAACAAAGATGAAAGATTTAGAGAATATCATAAATCGGTGAGTTGAAAATGGTGAGAAGGAGAGGCAAATCAAAGAGTTGATAAACAAGAGAGGCAAATCATACCAGAGAGAGTCGATTGGGGGGTAAAAATCAAAATGAACTTTGGTTTGTCTTCGTACACAGTTTGAGAGAGGGATAGCTGGTGAAGGAGAAGAGGGATAGCCGGTGAAGGAGAAGAGAGACGCTGGTGAGGGAGAAGGGAGAGGCCGGTGAGGGAGTAGCAGTCGTGTAAGCAGAGCAGAGAGAGGCGATGTGTATGGAGAGGGGTATGGTAGTAATTTTACTTCGGGGGGAAACAAGGACGTGGTCGGGTTCGGGGTTGGGGGACGTATCACCGTCCCCAACTCGAAAATTGTCAGGGATTGATTTTCTAATACCATCCCCGGCCTACCGAGGGTATTTTTTGGTGAAAATCTATGCTAATCAAAGTTGGGGGACTGGGTTCTCGTTGAGTCAGGTTCAAATTGCCATCCCTAATGATCATTCTATAAAAATATATATATTTTTTTTTGCGTTAGGTTCATAAAAAGTTAATGAAAAATATATTGCAAATGAATAATCCTATTTGTATTTCATTCCAATAATTTATAATTCATAGTGGACCTTCTCTCAAAATAAATAAATAAATAAATAAAATCATCATAGTGGCCGTTTTGACTCAACTACTGAAATTTGGAAGAAGATTTTATAGATTTGTTTAGTGTATCTCGTTAGGGATTTTTATTGATAAGTCCAATTTAGAAGTGTTTTAACCCAAGAAATCCATGAATGAATTTTTTAACCCATTTAGTCCGTATAGTTTTATTCCATAAAGTCCATTTTCTTGATTTACACTATTTTCTTGGACACTTATGCCCTTATATTTAATTTTGATACTTTATAAATATTTTTTCAATGATTAGCAATTTAATGATGTGAACATTCATATTTTAAAATTCACATTTATAGGAATGTAAATTGGCCCGTGGACAGCCCGAAACTCGCCCGCGAGCCAGGGCGGGCCCAGCCCGTTGACAATGTGAATATTCACATTGACATGTTAAAATTCACATTAATAGGAGTGTAAAATTGGCCCCCGTCCTGTGGCAGCGCGAAACCCGTCCGCGGCCCATGGGAGGCCCGGGCGCGGGCCCGGTCCGGCCCGTTGACAATGTGAATATTCACATTGATATGTTAACATTCACATTGATAAGAGTATAAAATTAGGCCACGGCCCATGGGCGGCCAAAAGCCCGCCCGCAGCCCGGGACGGGCCCGGCCCGGCCTGTTGACAATGTGAATGTTCACATTGACATGTTAACATTCACATTGATAAGAGTATAAAACTAGACAGCAGCCCAGGGCGGGCCCGACTCGACCCGTTGACAATGTGAATATTCACATTGACATGTTAACATTCACATTAATAGGAGTGTAAAATTGGCCCCCGTCCTGTGGCAGAGCGAAATCCACCCGCGGTCCATGGCGCGGCCCGGGGCGGGCCCGGTCCGGCCCGTTGACAATGTGAATATTCACATTGACATGTTAACATTCACATTGATAAGAGTATAAAATTGGCCCGCAGCCCATGGACGGCCAAAAGCCCGCCCGTTGCCTGAGGCAGGCCCGGCCCGGCCCGTTGACAATGAGAATATTCACATTGACATGTTAACATTCCCATTGATAAGAGTGTAAAATTGCCCCGCAGCCCGTGGGCGGCCCGAAGCCCGACCGCAACCCCAAGCTGGTTTGGCCCGACCCGTGACAATGTGAATATTCACATTGACATGTTAACATGCACATTGATAGGAGTGTAAAATTAGCCCGTGCCCCGTGGTTGCCCGAAACCCGTCCACGGCCCGTAGGCGGCCCGGGGCGGCCCCGGCCCGGCCTGTTGATAATGTGAATATTCACATTGACATGTTAAGATTCATATTGATAAGAGTGTACAATTGGCCCGTGACCCGTGGGCAGCCCGAAGCCCGACCTCGGGCCAGGGCAGGCTCGGCCCGTTGGCAATGTGAATATTCACATTGACATGTTAACATTCACATTGATAGGAGTGTAAAATTGGCCCGCAACCCGTGGGCGGCTCGAAGCCCGATCGCA